CCCAGTACCCCACGTGGCAGGCCCTCGCAGCCCACGTGGGGCTGTCCAGAGCGGGCACAGGCAGCCCCACGTGCGCTGCAAGCAGCTGCAGTGCAGGGCACCGGGCATGGGCGGGGAGGGGCCGTTCCCCACCTCCAACCCCGCACTCCTTCCCTGCCTGGGGTCTCCCCGCCAACTTACCTGAGCTTCCTGCGTTGGGGCAGCCATGTGCTCCCAGCTCAGAAACCGCAGTTGGGGCTTCCGGCTGGGGGGCGGGGCTGGGTGGGCTCACTGTTGTAGAAGCCTGTTGGGCTTCCCCTGGGTCCTACTGGCTTTGGTTCCTGTCATTTTTGACAGGAACCAAGGGCAAAGAAATATTAATTTTCTACATTTTTTTAGGAGCCCCGCGGGCTGGATAGAATGGCCTCGCAGGCCGGATCCAGCCCACAGGCCATATTTTGCCCACCCCTGGTGTAGAGGCCCCCTCTCTCATTCCCCTAATGCAGCCTCTGCTGAAAAACATGCTTCCAAAAACTGTGGTGAGGAACAATTTGGAGCAGTTAATCTGGCAGGAATAGTAAGCAGAGGCTGCATTAGGGGAAGCAAGAGAGCAGTACTCCTCACAACTCCTCAGACCAACCTGGTGGCCTTCTACGATCAGGTCACTAAATCATTGGATGCAGGGGTAGCAGTGGATATAGTCTTCCTGAACTTCCGGAAGGCTTTTGACACTGTCTCTCACCCCGTTGGGCCTGCCCTGTTCAACATCTTCATCAGTGATTTGGATGAGGGGGTGCAAAGCACCCTGTTCAAATTTGCTGATGATACCAAGATGTGGGGGGATGTGGGCACAATAGAAGGGAGCAACAGGCTACAGTCGGACCTTGACAGGTTACAAGGATGGGCGGAGGAGAACAGGATGGGGTTCAACACAGACAAGTGCAAGGTGATGCACCTGGGGAGGAACAACCGGCACCATACCTACAGGCTGGGGAACTCCCCTCTTGTCAGCACGGAGGTGGAAAAGGATCTTGGAGTCATTATTGACTCCAAGATGAACATGGCTCGGCAGTGTGGGGAGGCGGCTAGGAAGGCCAACTGTACCTTGTCGTGCATCCACAGATGCATTTCAAGCAGGACCAAGGAGGTGATCCTCCCCCTCTATGCGGCACTGGTCAGGCCGCAGCTGGAGTACTGTGTCCAGTTCTGGGAGCCGCACTTTAAGAGGGATGTGGACAGCATTGAGAGGGTCCAGAGGATGGCCATTCGCATGATCAGGGGACAGCAGGGCAGGTCCTATGAGGAAAGGTTACGGGACCTGAACCTGTTCAGCCTCCAGAAGAGAAGGCTGAGGGGGGATCTTGTGGCCTGCTATAAACTAGTCAGGGGGGATCAACAGGCACTGGGGGAGACCCTGTTCCCCCGAGCGCCGCCAGGAGTGACCAGGAATAACGGTCACAAGCTGGCGGAGGGAAGGTTTAAGTTGGACATCAGGAGGTGCTACTTCACGGTCAGGGTGGCTAGGGTCTGGAACCAGCTTCCAAGTGAGGTAGTGTAGGCTCCCACCCTGGGGGTTTTTAAGAGGAGGTTAGATGACCATCTTGCTGGGGTCGTTTGACCCCAGTACACTTTCCTGCCATGGCTAGGGGTCGGACTAGATGATCTGCCCAGGTCCCTTCCGACCCTAGAAACTATGAAACTATGAAACAAAACCAGGATAGCTGGAGTAGCAGTGTGGGATTGGCACATTAGTAGTAAAACATGGAACACGTCGGACAGGAAGGACAGCAGCAGGGGACTGGCATGCAGTTATTAAAAGGCAGGCCAGATTAGACTTTCACGGGCTGGATCCAATGTCTTCATGGGCCATATCCAGCACATGGGCCCTAAATTGCAAACCCCTGCATTACCCACTTGAAGCAGGGGTTGACTGCACCTCCCGGATCCCCCCCTGTCTTTATCACACACTTGAAAGATAAAAGAAAGGAATGTGATCATATCAATACCTTCTGAACAGAAGACAGATATTGCTGAATGAATTTGCCTCCGACAGCCTATTTGTGACATGGGACAAATCCTACTGCCCTTACTCAGGGTAAACACACATTAACATGGGCACTTGGTAGGTTTATGGTTAGTGCCCTGCTGACTGTTCTCCACATTCATTTCCTTTTAAAAACTTTCCAGTCTGTTTTTTCTCCAATATTACTACACCACAAGCAGCAGATTTTCTGCAGCACCAATACTCAGAACCTCAAAACAAATGACCCAGCTGCTGAGCCACATGGTTTGCAGCTACAAAGGACTCTTCTTAAGGGTTCCATCAAGGAGCTCCACTCATGGTAGGACTAGTATAGATGGGCTGCCAGCCTAGCTATGACATAATACTAATGATGGTAATTGATGTTCCCAGCTAACATACATACTTACAGTTGCATTTCTTTTGTACAAATCTAAGCTTGCATGCTGTTCTGTACGTGGATAAACGAATGCGATCCAGATCTTGAGCCCCTAGTGGAAGAGAATTATACATATGGAGTAACACTGGCACAGAGCAAATCTCTACAATAAAATGAACCATGTTTGTACGTCTTCCTTATTGACGATATACACATTGAACAAAGAATTAGTAGTATTAATGAGCATTTTCAAAGCTGCTTAGTTTGTTTTGGAGTTTTTGGGTCCAGATTCACAGTGCTAAGTCTTTTATGAAGAAAAGCATTGAATATTCAGCCCACTGTGTATCACTTTGGACAACAGTCTAGTCCAGCTGCAGACTAAAAGGCAAACTGGCCTGACTCCAACACCAGGGAAAATCTCCATCTAATTTTAATATTTAACAATGAACAAAAATAATAAATATCCAGAACTAACCTGTATGTACAGAATGATGTACTTCCAGAAGACCAAATTAGAAAACAAATTACAACTGCTGAACTAAAGATGTCTAGATGATAAACTTCAGATCAGACACACACATGTTACAGGTATCATACAATTAACTGGTTAATTGTGCAAGTATCTTGAGACCAGCTACATACAAAAAGTTACTTATCATGCCATAAAAAGCTCCAACCAGCTAAAAAGTTAGACCGAAAAAATGTGTGCTAACTTTATAGCTAGTTGCTATTGGGCTTTGATTTGCACATGTAGCAGGGTTTCCCCTGTGGCTGGGAACCAGGGCTGTGCGAAACAGCACTGTTTTGTTTTGACTTCTGTTTTGCTGTTTGGAAGGGACTGTTTCATTTCGTCATTTTGCTTTGTTTCGAAGCACTGTCTCATTTCATTTCATTGAAACTGTTTTGCTGTTTCGACGTTTCACTCACAGGCTATAATGGGGAACCATGAAAATGCCTATAACTTTGTCATTTCTTGCCTGATTCAGATGAAAATTACAGGGATGGTTGTCTCTTCTGAGGCCCTGAAGCCTGCCAAGTTTCAAGGAGATATGTGCAGGGGTTTCTGGGAAACTGCACCTCAGGGTGCTGACAAGCAAAACTCGTGTCACTTCCCAGCAGCGGCAGCCTCCTGTCATCCCACATGCAGATCTGGGAGTCCACACCCCTGGGAGGAATATGGGGCTGTGATGGACTCCTCCCAGGGGTGCATGCCCCTGGATCTGCGCTCAGGATGACAGGAGTGGTGCTGGGACTGGTGCTGGGTGCAGCCTGTGCCCAGCGCTGGGAAGACTGGTGCTGCCACTGGCCACAGGCAGCAGCAGCAGGCTTCTGTCATCCTGCATGCAAATCTGGGATCCTGCATCCCCGGGAGCAGTCCAGCAGCACTGGGAGGGTAGGTTGAGCTCTGTGGGGCTGGCGGAGCTGTTTGGAGCACAGTCCTGGCTCTCCCAACCTTCCGCCGCCAGGCTGCACTCTGAGTGGCTCCGCCAGCCCCATGGAGCTCAGCCTGGGACACTGCCCACTATGATGTTTTGTTTAACTCTTTCTTTGACTGGCTAAACTGTATTCATTACTGTGATTATTCTTTTCTCTTTGTTTTGCAGTTCAGGCCTGTGTACTGTAAATCTTCTATACTATTTTGCAACTTACAGTATTAGGTACATGCGTGGAATTTACAAATGAGGCAAGCAGAAAACCTCTTTGACTTTGTATTGATTTAAGACCATATATAGCATTTAAAATAAAGTTTTTAGTATTATTTCACAATGAGATTTAGTTATGTGATCATTATGCAGTTACTTTATATTGCTCACTGTAAGTCTCCAATTAAAGATAAATGGCAAATATTACTCATCCTCACTTCAGTCCCTGTCAAATTCCAATTCAATGAGAGTGAGAACTGGGTCAAAGTTGAAGCATTTCTTTATTTCAAGGCAAGCAGTCATAAGAAAGCACTGACAGTGAACCCAAAAGTTGGTTAAAACTCCCTGAGAGTGACTTGGGTTTTTTATATGATGCACCAATTAACTGCATAAAAAATTATCGTATGTTTTGAACACTTTTAGCATTATCTATTATACATTGTACAAGGGTTGAAATTATCATACAAATACGATAATTATCACACACCTGGCAATGCTGCTCTTAGCCCCAGCAGCCTCTGGGTGCTGGCAGCTGCAGACTCTGGGTCCTGGCAGCACACCTCCCAGTGCCAGGACCGAGCTGGGTCCCAGCAACCACGGGGCATGGCTGCAATCCCCCAGCCCTGGAGGTGTGTGGGATGGGATTTCACAGCAGTTGCATCTCCCAGGCTCCCCCTGCATTGGTAATGTGTGATCAGATCTAATGCACAATCCCACAATCACACCTCCTGCTATGCATGTATGACATGGCAGGAGGTGCAATTATGAGGATCATGCATTAGATCCTATTGTGCCTTTATCTGTATGTGTAGAGGGGCCCTCATACACACACTGCCAAGAATGAGCTAAGGTCCACTCAGTGCAGTGGGAGGCTGAAGCACTTAGCTGATGCATACAGATTGGCCCTGGCTGCTGTAACTTTCAACTTTGGCAGCGTTCCCAAAGCAAATGTCTGCACGATGAGCATAGGTAGAAACAGCAGAGCTCTGCTGCTGCCCTTGCCTGCCCATGACATTTCATCTATGCCAGGGTTGGGAAGAGTCATTACTCAGAAACCAGTTATATTGATTTTACTCCAGCTGATAGCTTCACCCATGCCACCAAAAATGAGGGAGAGAATCTGGTCTGGATCCTTAACTACCACATTGCCATTCATTATTTATAATGCATTTTAAATAGCTCAAAGGTAGATGAATAGATTTCTCTTTGTCCATAATACAGGGGTATCAAACTTATGGTCCACAAAGCCCCATAATCCAGCCCCTGTGGCTGTCCATTGACCCACACACTGCACCGGACTGACCCTGTGGCACATGCAGCGCTAGCTGGGCCTAGTATGAGGCTGTGTTGCCTGCAATGATTGCTGGTGCCAGGTCCTGGGCTGCACCACCCAAGGAGGGTGCATGCACAGGACCAGAATTCTCAAATATCTGTCTTTTTCAATGTAATTTCACCTACGTAACATTAGACTGTAAACAGAATAGAGTACATTGAAATATGATCCAGTCCTGTATTTTAACAGCATTTTCCAAATCCTTTCTTTGAAAAAAGTCTCTAGACATTAATAGAGTCACAGTGATTTGCAGTTGTATGTATGACTATGTGTTAGCATTATTCTCCCATTCTTTGTTGGGCAATCTGGCACTTGCTGAACCCAAACACTTGAAACTTGCGTGGATCTACGAGACAAGAAGAAGAGATTTTGATTTCTTCCCAGCCTCTGCTCCATTCCCGACTAGGTTCGTCCACGCTATCTTCCCAGGGTTCTCCGCTAGTTCCCTTTGTCAGTTGGCTGTCTTAAAGCATCTGTTACTGGCAGAAGTTACCCTCAACTAAGCATCAGGCTCTGAAAGTTTTTGATATTTCTCAAGACATGCTTTGCTGTTAAATTACTAGGTTTTTCTTTTCTCTGTTAGGATCTTACTGACAGCGTTTGGAAAAACTTAGCTACATTTTTTGTAACACTAAGTCCTCCTTTTATTAGTCAGAATAACCATGTACTCTTTTTTTCTGTACACTGCAGGAAAAGCCTGTAGCTTTTAGTATCTGCTTCTGTCACTTTAACCCCTTTACAAGGTATAAAGAAGCTAAAGGATCCTACCCAATATGCATTTTGCAGGGAGTGGTATTAAGTGGTGCTGAGGGAACATATATTTAAAAAATATTGCCATTTCTGCTGTTAGCACACACTGTGATTTTTATTATTTTGGGGAAAGACTTTCTGGACAAATGGAGTAGAAAATGCAATAAATTTATTGGCCTTGCTTCTGTTTCAGATATAATTAGTTTTCTCATTCTTCAAATTCCACACACAGTCTGAAATTTGGTTTCCAAATAAAGACCTTGCTTCCACAGAGGTTGTGAAAAAACATATAGTAAGGAGCATGTGCGTGTACATGTGAATGTGGCAAATCAAATATCAAGTTCTAAGTTGTCTAAAATCAGGGGTGTCAAACTCATTTGGCCCCACAGGCCAGATGAGTGGACTAGGACCAGTCCAGTCATCGGATCAGTGCATCCAGTGTATGCAGCACCTGCCCAGGCAGGTCCAGGACACTGGCCTGAGTGAGTACTGGCAGGTAGCACAGCCTGGGATGCTGGCCTGGGTAAATGCCATGGACAGCACAGGATGCTGGCCCCAGTGAGGGCTCTGGGTGGCATGGGGCTAATCGTGTGCAGCGTGTGAGTCAATGGGGCAGCACCATAGGCCATATTATGGGGCTCCACAGGTTGTATCTGGCCCATGAACCATATGTTTGATACCCCTGCCCAAACTGCTGACAAAAATAGCTTCACCTGCCTTTGTTCAGCTCAGGGTTGCATTTTGTTCTTTTCAGGTATTCTCATCACAGGCAATACTGCTGGCAATTTGAAAATAAAACAATGCAATGAACTGCAAGCCTTGTCTGGTGTTTTTGGATTTTGCCACAGTAATCTTTTTCTCCTGTATAATGTACATCAGCACCCAAAATGGAAACAAGTTTTCCTGGCCATATTTGGTGCTACTTCTACCAGTTAACTCCCCTGTGAATATATGTAAATATGTAAGATAAATCTATTAGTATTTCATTTATTTTGACTATGCCTTTTTGCCTTTTGAGTTTTGAGCGACAACATAAGGCTATGCCTTTTGAGTTTTGACCTTAGCACTTCATGTAAGATAATATTAGACAGGACACTAATTCACAGAAGATTGTAATTGGCATCTGGAAGAAAAAAAAAATCAATTGGTTCACTAAATGGAGAGATGCTTCAGATTCTGCCTATCATTTCAAATATGAATGCCACAAACCAATCTAGGCAGACAAGGTTCCTTGGGTGAATTTGATATCTTTTATTAGACCAACCCAAATGGTTGGAGAATAGTTATTAAGCAAGCTTTCGGGTTCAAAAACCCTTCATCAGGCTAAGGAAGCTGCAGCAGTTGGTGTGTGCTCTTCCTGGATGGAATGAAAAGTAAACAAGCCAGGGGCTGGGCTGGGGAGTCAGTTGCCAGGCAGATTGTAATGTATCAAAAATCCAATGTCTATGTTTAGTCCCTGACCTCTAGTATCCAGCAGCTTGATGAAATGGAGCTCATAGGCTCGTCTCTGGGATGTGTGTGTGTGCTTGCTTAATAACTGTTCAAAAGATATCAAATTAACCCAAGGAACCTTGTCTGCCTATATCCTTAGACCAACACGGCTACAACCTAAACCCTTGCAACATGGAAGATATCGAATTCAGCCGTCTGAAATGGAAACTGTACAACATGAAAAAGAAAGAAGCCAGACTCAACAGCGACATATTTTCAAAGCCTTTGCAAGAAACACAACTTCATTCCCCGAGGACTAAACATCTACAATCCCCTGACTACTACACACAACTCCAAATATGCTGCACAGCTACGCAGAAGAACTTCAGAGAAAATTAGAAATCATCTACTTCACCTACTCTACTCCAAAAGAGACCAACTCAGGAAGGAAATCGTCATACACTACAACAACTTAAAAGACAGAAATCCATGCATGTTCCCTGACAATATACAG